GGCCCAAAATAAAGATTAAAAGAAAAAAAAAAAAAGAAGTAGCGGAACTGTATTCACAAGAGAGGCAAAAAGAATGGCCTGCGTTGGTGGAAGTTCAAGCTCATTGCTTTTAATTAATTCCCGATCCAAACAGTCGTCTCTGCATTTACCCTTATCCAATCAGAGGTGATACGAGAAATAACCTTCCATGTAAAACTTTTCTTGTAGATTTGGAACAATTTCCATAGAATGGGTAGTACCAATATAACGTCCACACAACCACTCATAATCTTCTTCTTTGACGTTGTACTCAATTCCTGACCAATCTATTTCTCTGTTCTTTATTCTCCACGTCTGTTGTCGTTGTATTTGTCTATGTGTCTCACTGCTTCTGTTTTTTCTATGGTCATATTTGGGTCTTTTCTCCATTGGATGGTCCTCTGATTTCCTTGGGTCCCTTCCCTCTTGTCCTCTAACTACGTCAGCATAAGTTTTCCCTAGGACAACTATATATGTTTGTGGTTAAAGTTCTCCTTATCTCCTTAACCTCAGCTTCCTCCTTTGGGTATTTGGCTAAGTTTGCCCAAATTTTGCAACAATCAATCCAAATCTAGGTTAGTTGTTTTTCCAGTTCCTTCTCGTTCTTTACATTCAGGAACCTAACAAAGCCAAACCTGCTACCATTTTTGCTTCTTCTCAATGGGTTGTATATTGCAAACACCCTGCCATATTTCCCAAAAGTCTTCCACATTTCTGTGTAGCTCTAATCATCCGGGATATTGGTGAAGAAGAAGACTATAGCTTGTTTGTATAACCCCTTATTATATACCCATTCCATAATTACCTTCTTGTGCCTGCGTATTACCCCCTACTCAGTACCCTCCATCCTCCTTTGTCGGTTTCTTTCTTTGGGTCATTCATACTTTTTGCCCAATGCTGTCCATCTAGCCCAAGGCCGTTGTCCATTACCTAAGTCCCTGTTTCTCTCTCTACCTACCTCACTCATGATTTTTGGATCCAATGAGCTAAAAGTTGAGGACTAAAATAATAGTTAATTGTTTTAATTAGACATTGATTTAAA